GAGATGGAATTTTTATTTTACTAATAAAAATTCATGCAGAAAAATCTAAAGAAATCATATGATAAAAATCAAATAAAATCTCAATTAAAACACTACTGATTAACTTTCTTTTTGGTAGTTTTTTATTTTACTCTATTTGATCTACTAATTGATGAAATGAATGCATTGATATTTTAGTGGTTACATTTAGACGTACTGTGTGAAGACATATTCATATTCGATGCATAAGTTACGTTTAATATATATTCAAAATCAACGTACTGTGAATAATAATTTCTGCTAAATATTATTCTAATCATTTTCTGAAAATGGATAGATGACGCTAGGTCATATCATTTTACATCATAGAGAGGGTTGACATAGAAACTACACGGAAAACTTGAATCGCGTATAACTCTCAATTGACGTATGATATTGCTATTGAACTTACTCGATCGGATACTTTGGGATTCAGTTTGGATAGGATCCGACGACACTTAACGTATTGAGTTTTATGTTTACTAATTGTTAAAAAAGAAGTCTAAGATGATTTCCAAATCTTTCTTTAATGAGACTAGTGTCATAACTATTAATGTCAGACATCAATGGTAAGCAACGGGGCTTCGCATGGAATAGGATAATCCTAACTCATTAGAGCAACATCTTTTACAGAATTTTATTAAGAACAACATCATCGTTTTGAAATAGATGTCTTTCTCGACTATTCGAGCAAAACACGTGAAAAATAATTTGTTTTCTAACTGTGTATATAGTTAAACACTGTAACCATTAGGATTTGATAAAACAAATAACAATGAATCAACATATAAAGTAACAATTCGTGGTCTGTTGCTCAATGTCAATCTGATTAATTTGATTCAACAAGCTTGGTCACTGCTTCGTCTTCTTCTATCATCACTTTATCCTCATCTTTTATTATTGATTCTTCATCAGCTGTTCATGAATTTACAAATGAACGAATTACCTGCTTATTAGAAAAAGATCCATTGAATTATAAAGTCATAAAAAACATAAAGAATAAATTATCTATGATTTGTTGGTAGATTTATGGTTTTCCACCCAAGAAACCTCGTATAAAAGAGGAATTTGAACCAATTTAAGGCTTTATTAGTTATCAATTATGTTTTCAGTCGTATGCATTTACATCGAGTTCTGATCCACAGAGTACTCAATGTACATAGTTGTGCTCAAAAGCTATCTCCTAGTACAAGAAAAAGATCTCAGTCGATAGGTAGTGATGAAACTTAAATGAAATTAGAAACAGTTTACATTCATAGAGAGAATGAAACGTGTTATTTCATTGTGAAAATAAATAAAAGAAATATGAATTTGGTTATAATGAGATGAGTTTCATCCCATACGGAGCCCTAATTCAAACGATTTCTTAACACATAGAATTTAT